TTATGAGCGCTTTAAGTATTCGACAAACATTTTAACAAATGTTTCTATACATAGTCCTCTCAGCTTAGGTAGGGCCAAATCATAGATATTTAGGGCTTCTCAATTTTAGCCACCTACTCTATAAACTTTAAACGAAGTGATCTCAGAGATGTTATAATGCGCCAGCTTGTTAAGTAGACCTTTTATCAACCTATAGTCATGTTTAAAGTAAGTTCTAGGCTCCGAGCCCTTGCTGTCCTTGACTTTATGCGAGATAACTGACGTACCACTTTGACCAACCTTCGAGTTAAGGAAATCGGCTTTTCATGATATCGGATCGTTTCCTACCTCTAATTTGTGTTCTTTCATCAGTTTTTAGTAGAGTAGCAATCATGGTTGCGTTACATACACTGTGGGATCGTGAATGATTGTCAATGACTGGGGTGGTCATATTGCATTTTTTGCCAGAAACGGACAAATCCTTATGACTGAATTTTTCAGGCTTTTCCTGACTTCTGCTGCTAGAGGTGAGGGACACAGAAGGAACCTTTTCCCCTGGGTCCTCATTCCTGACAGATCGCCTTAAGGTCGGTCCTTTTTTTTATGGCCCACGTGTATCAGTCGACTGTGAGCATTCTTAAGATAACTTCACTTCGAGGTATTTATCTGCAGACCAAGTAGCTGATGATCGATCAATACTATGAATGCAAATTAGCAAGGAAAAACAACACTTCTAATTTGCTTACAACAATGTCAAAAATATTACCGAACTACAACAAGGTACTCTCATAGTTGTGTCATGAATTAGTCACCCCACTTTACAAGACATGGTAGAGGCAATATCCGAAAAACTACAAACCATCTAATGTAGTTAACGTAGTTAACCGTAGTCGTATAAAAGCAAAAAAACAAACCGTTTTAATTCTGAATGGAAAAAACGAACAATATGACAAATAGCAGTGAAATGCTTTGCCGAGTCTCACCCAAAATAATTTTTTACTGCCGTTGGACATTGGATTTCACCAAATATCCATTGATCTGTGTATTTACAAGAGGTTTTTACACTTTGATTGGCTTCAAGAACCCCTCTAAATTTTCACGAAGCTTCCCATAATTTCCACAGAATTAGGTAAATGGATAGATTTGGACTGGAAACCTCTTGGAAAGATTAGGTGCAGTTCGATTTTCAAGTGCAAGCTTCTGGAGAAATTTACCTATTCTACTTATTATATGCTCCCTACTCAGGGCCTGTATATATACGACAATCCACAGGTAGCATCTACGATCGAAAAATACCAAACGGAACTTAGAAAGGCATCCCCGTCATGAAGTATGCACCAATGTGGAATAGACTTCCTTTAAAAAGACGAATTTCATACGTCTGTAGAACGTTTTATCGAAACCTTCGTTCTCACTGGTCTGAGCACGCGCGAACAATTCTGCATCTTACTCACTATCATAAGCTCCAGTAGTGTCGGCCACTAAGTTAAGCCCACATAACTTATTCTACCTTCCGGACGGTCCAAGTTATTAATATTTCTTGAGTCGCGTTTTGATTTTTGGATACATATATTTTGTACTCCCACAGGTCTGAACAGGCAATCAGAAGAAACGAAGCGAAGAAAGCAAAGTAAGGAGAGCGAAGCAAGATGGTGCGCAGTGAAGAAGGCGTGTGAGCCAACTCGATTTATTCAAACATTAATCGATATTTACAATTACACTAATATAATGGAAGGAAAAGTCAGTTTTAGATTGATTTATAATTATGAGTTCTTTTCAACATTACTTCTGTTCCGATTCAATGTGATGATAACTTAATGTAGTATTTGTTTTGTTCTCTTGTGTGACATTTTATTCTGTATGATATACGATATTCTTGTAATCATCTGACATGAACCATGTTATAACCCTAAGTATTTTTCATAAATGTGATTTCATCCTAATTATTAGTCATATTGTGTGTACAATCAATATATTAACAAATGTATTTCTGACTGTCTTCGTCGTGTTTCGGGGATAATAAATATTCATATATACCAATCTTTGTGTTCTTAATTTCGCGTCGTGGGAAATGCGGAGGTCCCTCGTTCCGAGTATAAGTGATAAGCGTCTCCGACGTACCAATCAGCGACGACCAGATATTACAAGTAGCGTTCAACTGACAAGTTATAACACACAAAAATAAGCTACAGACATATGATGAGTAGGATAAGCTTTACACATACATGCCCATAACAGAAATCGACGTTGATAAGTGAATAATTAACAAGGTCAAAACCTGACTGAAGAAGAATGAATAAATCCTCCTATTTATCAGCTGGAATAAGCTGTGTGGGTTTGATATAGTAACCGACACTGCACTCCCCATACATCTAAACTACGTAAGGCTCTAAGTTTCGTTTTGTATACTCATTTTCTTTGAAGTTGTTTTGGATTCTTCTATGGAGAGACATGCCCTACTTTAATTTCCATTTGAAGGAGAGCGATAACTCACAGAACCTACCAATACTGCTCAAATATAGCCGGTCTCAAGAAACGTTCATCATGACTTTAGCAAGTTATTGAGTGAGCCTTACAATTTACTGCCACATTACTAGTGATCTTGGATATATACCGCTTGTAGACCATCACCCAGTTGAAATCGCACAAAACAACACCAATACCAACTTATTTTGGGTTGCTTTTTGTCTATTTTCTCATCACATTACTGCTTCTGCATAAGGTTTACTGAATAACTGTTAATTTCATCTCGTTACCCATTACCATATTTATGACCATTACGTTCTTACACCTTTCCGCCTAACGTGATGGACATTTGTCTTCTGTTGTATTTTTGTAAATGTTCGTATATCGTTTGTATTGCAACGTTGTCTAACCCATTGTCCATAATTTATAACTATCTTATCAGCTTGTAACGTGGTATTTGTGGAAATAGTTTTCAAGAGGATACGGAATACTATTTTATTTACCAGTCACTTGAATATAGCCTAACATCACAAAAGAAGATAGAGTTACTTACTAGTAAGGATTGATGATGAAGCAGAACGCTCCTTTTGATCGAGGATGGCGCAAACAGCCTGTATACTGAGGTTATACGCCCATTCTCGTCACTTAAACGCTTTGTTCCCAGTCTTATGCTGACTTTGCTGTTCTACTAAGACGTTGTTTAAGCCATAGCTTTCAGGTTATGACCTATCAGTCAGCATTTGATGAAAAGAGAATAATAATTAGATTCATTGGAAAAAAGGCTAAAGTTGTTAGCGTTTCTAAATACTTTACTCTCTTAATCCAATCTCGATTATAATGGACGTATTTGCTGAATCAAACTTCAACTTTGTCTTCTTTGTTTGAACCCTTTTCATTTTGTTAAACGTCACAACTCATCGTTCTTGTTTGCTGTATTCTTTCATCTAAAGGTTTTAGCCAAAATCATACAATGGAGGGCAGTTAGTATGAGTTTTATCTTACGATTTAACATATCTTTGTCTGTTCCACAATAGACGGTTAGGCATTGTTGTTTGTACTCAAGTGCCTTGGTGCTTCTTTGTTTCTCTTTCTGACTTCACGTGTTCTGTGCACGCCCATGGAGATTCTTGGCACGCCAGGGAAACCTATCAAACGTACACATTTGCCTAGGACATAGCCCCTTTTATTCATTACTCTATAACAACCATAAATTCACCAGATAGTACATAAATACTTAGCAGCACTACCGCTCCAATGTGCGAATGAAAAGTTTGGACTAAATGTGTCTTCCAAGGTCATAATTTGTATGAGGTTCCGATTTTAGACGGATTAAACTGTGAACTCAAAACACAATACCAACACACTGACCTAGTTACTAACTTGCTGATCTATCTTCATGTGAAACAGTTTTGTAGGCGTCACATTAAACAAAGCAGAAGAATTATCAAGTGTGTTATTGGCAAATTATTCAAGGTTTTATCTACGTAAAAATAACGTAAAATCAGTATCAGTGATCAATCTGCTCTTCGACGTTGTGGATATAATATGAGGTTCTGACCCGATTGTAGACACAGGGGCTGGAACCAGTGTAACCGCAGTCAGGTGATTCGGAGATCAGTAAATCAAACTGACAATTATCCATCGATACTGAGGGGATATAGTATGTCACTTTTAGTTTGCTCCGGTCATTCACTGAAATATATGAAAGGAAAAAGATTTATATTGTAAGCAACAACTTGTGTACTAGGAGATAATTTCAGGTTATATGGTAGTGGTACACAGAGGTAAAAAGTAATTCTATACCTATGTACGCCCTTACAGTTTCTGCAATGATAATACCAATATAAAATGTCGTTAGTCATACTTTTCTACTTTCCGTCAAACATTAGCGGTTGTGAATCATGCACAACGAAGCCGAGTCAGACAGGTGAAACTGTCAAAATCTCAACATGACATCATTATGGGTTGTCACGGTTAGCTCAAATAAAATGTTCTGGGATTTGACGACAATGTTTGTCATGCCATCTATCTATATTCTCTTATCCGTTGGAGCCCATCCATGAATATATAGTGTTTGTCGACTTGTTAAACAAAGTGAGGATTATCTTTTTGATATTTAGAACATACGTGATTGTGTAGCTATGAGCAGGTTGTGGATTTTCATTGCCAGCAAATCATAAGCTTTATCTCTTCATCCTAACTTATAAAGTCTTCATCAAATGGATGTGCATTGTAGGTGACTCATAAGAATACCAAGGTCCCAAAACGCTTCATCTTATCAAGGCGAATATACTAAATAGTCAGTTTTGAAGGAGAAAACAGTTTCTTATTCAACAGAACATTAGAGATGCTGAGTTTTCAAGTACGTTTTGAAGTGTTTTACCTTAGAGAATTATTTACCACTACGTAGCCGTTACACCATCAAGCTCTAAATTGGCGAATACGAAGCAAATTGAAGCGTTTAATTGGTTTATATCTTCTCCATATATTATTATTATTACCAAGCTGTGTCTAACGTAGATTGATAGGTTGAGACAATTTGTTATAACTACTCAGTATAGTTGTACTTATTCGTGCTACTTTTTAAAAACAAGGACAAACTTGGCATTAGGTCCTACTCAAGGTTTATGCTTCATCGCTGTTACTGATAATTACTCTATACGGAACTATTATCTGTTCAAAACATCATGTTTAAATACATTCTTTTCTTCATAGTATTTTCAATAATTTCGAAGCCTTTGACTGCTGAAAAATTGGTTAACGGAACTTGTCCATCTAGTCAAAGAACATTCTGCTATGATGGGATTATTGTACCTATGTGGAGACCATCCACAGGCATAACTGCCGGCGACAAGGCTGCTAGAGCCATCGTTTATTTTTCAGCACTTATGTATTTATTTTTGGGTGTGTCTATAATTGCCGATCGTTTCATGGCTGCAATCGAAGTGATCACTTCGCAAGAAAAGGAAGTGACTTTGAGAAAGAAGAATGGGGAAACTCAAACGATATCCGTCCGCATATGGAACGAGACTGTTTCAAATCTAACTTTGATGGCTTTGGGGTCTTCTGCTCCCGAAATTTTATTATCTGTTATTGAAATAATTGGGAAGAATTTTGAAGCTGGGGATTTGGGTCCCGGCACTATTGTCGGTTCTGCAGCCTTTAATTTGTTTGTCATAATCGGCGTATGCATAATTGTCGTTCCTGATGGACAGGTACGTCGAATTAAACATTTAAGTGTCTTTTTCATCACATCGTCATGGAGTCTGTTCGCTTATCTTTGGATGTATCTCATTATAGCTGTTTTTACGCCTGGAGTAGTGGAAGTTTGGGAGGCACTGCTTACGTTTATATTTTTTCCCGTTATTGTGATTTGTGCATACTTAGCCGATACAAAAATTTTCTTTAAAAAGTTTCTTAAGAAAAAATATCGTGCAACTGCCCTAATGAAAGCTGCAAACGGTGATTTAGAATTGACCAACCACACTGAAGAAGTGACATATGCTCCTGCTGATGGGGACTTATTAGTTGAGGAATCGGAATTCGATCGCCATCGTATGGATTATGTGGAAGCTATTAAAGAAATTAGGAAACGAAATCCGAATATCGGAATGAAAGAATTGGAAGAACTAGCCCAAATGGAAGTGCTTAATAAGGGTCCCAAGTCCAGAGCTTACTACAGAATGCAAGCAACACGCCAACTTACAGGGAGTGGAAATGTCATCAAAAAAGCTAAAGTTGAACGTCGAATGTCTTTTGATGATAACCGACTAACAACAGAAACATATCCTCCACACGTTCAGAGGTTCTTTTTTAATCCTGGTCACTACACCGTAATGGAAAATGTTGGAACGTTTCCTGTGACAGTTACTCGTGTTGGTGGCGATATGCACGCCGTCGTCTCTGTTGAGTACTTCACTCTGGATGGAACTGCAGTTGCTGGAGAAGATTATGAACCAGTTAAAGGTCTACTGTTGTTTTCGGCTGGCGAAACACACAAACAAATCATGATTTCTATTATTGATGACGATATTTTTGAGGAAGATGAACATTTTACTGTCCATTTGAGAAATCTCGAAGTGAAACATTCGTCTACCAAGATCGAGCCGGTTCTGGTTGACCCCATGGTTGCTACTATTATGGTTCTGGATGATGATCATTCTGGAGTTTTTCAGTTTGATGTGGCTGATCTTACCGTTAGCGAGTCTTGTGAATACGCTGAGATCAAAGTACAGCGTGTTTCTGGTACGTCTTATTTTTATTTCAGAGTATAATGAACACTTATTTATATCATACATTTTTAGTCCTCCTAATCAAACAGAAATATTTTGTTGTGATATCTTAGATTGAACTTATTTTTGCTTGACGAGTTCAGAATTTTAAAATGATTATTTACAACACATAAAGTTCGTAGAAAGCGAGCTACGCTTAAAGAAATAATTTGGGTTACGACACCAAATATTGAGTTCAGTTAGATAACATCTTATGATAACAGTAAAAATTAAAACATCTCTTACATTGTTATTTTAACTCTGATTGTTGTTTGCTGTTGGACGATTATTTGTTAGAAAAATTTCAAATGTCAGTGCTAGTTTTTTATAGCGTATTATAACCTGGGACAGATGTTAGATTTAAAACATTTATTTTTACAAAAGAGGGATTTAATCATAAGAATTATGAAGATTGGCTCGCAAATGTTATTTTATATCTTTAGACTAGATAATCAATTTTGTTGCAATCATCTAAGTTCAAGATTTCATGTTCCTTTAGATTTAAACAGGTTTATGGAAGATCAATTTGCACTGTACTTGAGATTTATTTACTTAGCATGTACAAGTGCAATTTTTAGTTAACAAATAGCTAAAGACTTCCAGAACTACACTGATGTTTTAGGGAAGGTTTAGCTTAGCCAGATGTTTCTGCTAGTGTTTGCAGAATTCTATAAACATTTTATGCTGTGAACAAACTGGAACCTGATTGTTGTGGTTTAATGATCAAAGGAATTTAGCATTTCTTTCATGCTACAAATCTTGTAGACTGCTGTGTAAATACGATCGTTTGCTTTTATCAAAAATAAAGTCAACCAGTAGTTGTTAAAGCGATTCACCTCAAGTATAACGAAATTTATCATTTTGAGTTTATTTTAAGCGACGAATAACACTGATTTTGTCAAGCCACAAGGATGCTTACATGTGAATTTTTATACAGTGGTTCGAGATAGGTTTCAAACTTGTGGGATGAAACTGCAGCGAAAAATAAAAACAATCCCAACAGTTTTCAATAATCAGTGATAAATTCGAAATATTCTAACTTCAAGATCCAATTACTAAGTGCTTCTATTCATATCTATAGGTTGCCGAGGTATCGTTCGATTGCCATACCAGACCGTCGAAGGTACCGCTAAGGGAGGCGGAAAGGATTTCGAAGATACTGTCGGATATATAGAATTTCAAAACGATCAGACAGAGTAAGTACTAAAAAGTTTTCTTCGTTGACGTTACCATTTTTTATAATCTACCACATATTTTCGTAGTGCTTCTTAGCTCATAGTTACCTCTAACAAAGTTAACCCTTTTAGTTAAAACGTATGTGTAAATATTTTAATTACCTTACATCCCGATAAAATCAGCTACAAGAATAATTAATCATAAACATTGTAGTAAACTTGCAAAAATTTTGGTTACTTTGAGTTCTTGTGTGTATGTTCGACGAATGAGATTTACAGTAAGGCATTTTTCCTTACCAAAATAGCGAAAATAGTTTATTAACAGATACTACTTAGATTTAAAAACGTATTTTATTAAAATATAATATAATGGAAAGTAACTAAAGATTTTCAGTTGCTTCAATTCTAGTGAATGTTGAAGGCTTAAACTTCATAACAGATATCATGATGTACGTGATGAATACTTGTTTAATCAGTTTGAAACAGTCGTTAACAGTTCGAGAACACTTGAGTTTCAGGTTTTTTTCAAATACTATACCTTTGAAAGGGAATACACAGTAATGTGAGTTATTCATGACAACATGTACATTGAACTTAAATTATTGATGATATTTATTTAACCATACTCTTCTGCTGTTATATAATTGTTTGGTTCAGATGAACTTCATTTTTTGGCCATAAAATTGGTTACAATTCATTAGTTATCTTGACAAATACGTATTTTATCAACGAAATAACATTTGGAAGCGTTAAAGTTTGTTTTGACGTACTGAAATTACATAAAAAAACGAGAGCGGTTACTGGGTAACACTCGTATTTTTCACTTAATACTAGATAAATAAAGTGCAAAGCAAAGAATGTTCATCACAGACAATATAGTCTAAATAATTCTATAAGAAAATCAATCATTATGTAGAGGATTTTCGTGAATCCTTTAAGTACCTTACACAACACGCGCAAGTTTTTAAGACAGGCCATGTTTTCATTAGTGCAAATTTCCTATAAAAATTCATAAGGTAGAGTAAAAATAAAAATCTAGATAATGTGTGTTGTTCTTACACTGACAGAGGTTCATGCATCTAAACGTTTTGAGCTGTTAACCAAAAGCAAAACCATATGGTCTTCTTTTATGATAAAAAATATGTGAGCCGATTACTTAAATAAAATAAATTCAAGTGATTCACATGATTAGTTCAATACGAAATGCGAAAAGTCACTGAAATGAATGATGAACTGTAGTAATATTGCAAAAACGTTTCTCTAGAAATGGTTTCTGTTGAATTTCGATGAATTTTGTGTGCATGGAATCAAGAAATGGTAAACACAAAACTTATCGCTATGCTGTCATGCTACTAGTGAAGTTGTTAAGTATTGCCGTTCATATCTTATACACTAAGCAACAAAACTATAGTATGATTTTTCTCAGTATTTTATTATGAAATAATGCTACTGATGGTAATACAAATTCTACACAAGTTGCGTATATTTTATAGCACATTAAGAACTGTTTGAAGTACTTTTAACGAAAATATTTTCTGGTTTCTATGGGATTCCACTGACGTGATTCTTAGCTTCCTTTTAAAGTACTATGACCACAAGATAATGATTTGGTTTGGAAAATTATATATATATATGCAGAGAGAGGAAAAGAGAGTAATGTAAGGCGAATCTGATACCAAAAATTCAAGCACAATTGAGATCCAGTCTCATATTTCCTATCTTCTGTTAATAATTACAACTTAATGGGTTAACATTGTTAGTCGTTTAAATGATTAAGTATAAATATAAAGTTTTATGATGCAATCAAAGACCAAATAGTAACGATCGACAGTGTTCATAACGAATATAATTCAAAATTATTACATAGGCTAACCTAACAAAAGAAGTACTAGCAGTCCAAGTATTTAGATTTTGACGAATGAATAAAGCATTTACTGGCCATGTCATTCGTGGAGAGTTGGCTCAACCGTTTTGAAATTTATATTTCATTCGTTATTTCAAAGGTTTATACCTTGTCAAGTTTACCTCATTTTATTCAGTCGGTTAATATATACGTAAATGTTACACAATGAAGTTGGGTCGATGAATAGTCTAAAACCCTACACTTGATTATATCATTGTGTTTAGATTGAAAACAGCCACGTCATTTATCGATACTTTAGTTCAATAATTAATTTTCTCACTATCTAATGTATTTGTTTGAATTTGATCATTGTAATTTCCCTTCCCTTGCGCTTATAGACTACAGTTTGATAAATCGAAATTCTCGGTACCAAGTTATTGCTATGTAAATTCTGTTAGTTGATATGTAATGCATATAAGACTATAATTTACGGTCGAACCAATCAAAGTTAAGAGAGCAGGTCCCGGATTTTCATACGAAATTCATTCATCCATATGGTTAAACAGCGTTTGTGGTATTATAGCTGATCTTATTTCGTAATAAAAACTGTATTTCTAATTTCCAACTCGAACGTCCAGTTGTAAATCCTAATTCTTATTCCTTACACTAATTCATAACTCTCATATAACCCTAGTAAATTGACCGACATTCTCAAGGTCAATTAAGTATCGCTCAAAAGTCCTTCAGAAATTAGTCTCACCTGTATGAATAAATCACTGAACTTGCGACTAAGTACAAATACACGGACGCAATTTTTTAAGTATTGACAGACTTACACACTCATGACTGATTCCAAAGATCACATTGTTTCATATTTTACGGGAACTAAGCAAACCAATTATTGAGGCCGTTGCTTTTTAAAATTTATTTCAACGAAATGATTTGAATTACTGAGTATTCTAGACAATCCAGTCTTCATATTTGTTGAAATCTAATAATGTTGATTACGCCCTTTACAAGTGTAAACTTGTTTTGCATTACAAAACGGAGAAATATTGTAGAGAAAATTTTTTATGGAGTGTAATAATTATTTCAGTATATTACATTCTTTTCAAAATGCTCTGTCGGTTGAATACAAAACATCAGTTAACAAACCAAATGTTCTGGAAAAGAATGTTACAAAATCAGATAATATGATTGTATTTTCTGCAAGCTATGTATATGTCAGATATATATATATATATATATATATATATATATATATATGGTCAAAATATTAAAAACGTTTTACTATTATCATCCGATGATGACTTAATATAGATTTTGTACATTCATTCACTAGACATGTTTTTACTTGATTCTGTGGGACGGAAAAATAACCAAAAAGTATTTCAAAAGATTGTAATAACAAATTTATTGTTTTAAGAAAAAGAGCATTTTGTTTTACATTAAATTTTATCATTCGATTCTAGTTCCTAATGCATTTTCATTGTAACTGAAGGATTTCAATTCTCATTATGGATTATTTAGGTTCCATCTAAGCGATTGCATGGAATCTGTTTCTCATTAGTGTAGACTCATTTGGGAATGCAAGTCAGCATTCGAAGACATGCTGATATATTCATGTTAGTGGTCAATGAACTGTGGTGCAACGAACTCTAGTCATATTAAGACTGGAAAAATTAATGTTAAATTAGTATTGGGCACAGATAGTATTATTTTCACCTAATTTATTGCTACAAGTAGAATGTGTAGTATTCCTGATAAGGAAATCAAATAGAATGACATTTTGATGATTATAATTGTCTGTATTTTTTCTTATAAATCTAATCTTATTCTTTGTATAAAGTTATAATATTTAGATGTACAAATTTTGTGGTTGGAATGAGCTAGAAAACATTTCATACACTTTTCATTTAGTTCTTTGCATAAATACCTTGAAAGGCAGGTGCAACTTATCTAAGAATCTTTCAATGATCAAAATCGTGATTATAGGAACTAGTTGGCCTTTGTAATATATATATATATATATATATATATATATATATATATATATATATAATGATATGCGTATGACAGTATGCATATGTGCACATTCTGCAGATGCAACATCAAGTTTTTTCGTCTTAAATGTGAATTATTATCTAGAAAGAACATAAATAATCTATAAATAACCATTAGTTAGTAATTGTTCTGAATATTTTCGTTTATATTAATGTCATTGTTATATACTATTTTGTTAAGGATCAGATAAATTTTACTAAGACTCAGTAATAATGAAATGCACATGTACCTCATAAAACTCATCGAAGATGGACATCACGCAAAAGTAAGCATAAAACAAAGCGTCTGTTTCAGTAATACCTCTTCTACAAGATGATAATATTAATCATGAACAATATTCATTATTAACTCAAACAATAAGGAGACTGATAAGTAAAGCACGTAAAATAAAATGACTCTGACTTCAATGAGTCAAAAAGTCAAGGTCATGGAAAATTTCGTATTATGGGCAAAGTAAAAGTTGAATCAAAACGACTGATAAGGAGAACCAACGAAATAAATTTAAATCGTTCTGATTTCCTTATATTGCTTAATGTTTTTGATAGTGATAGATGAAGTATAGTGATTCAACAAACATTAACTTATTGCAATCATTCGATCACTGTGCAGCTTCTTGGTAAGCAATAGCTTGAATTTTTGTTCCAAATAGAATCCAGGCATTCCGGTCATGATGTTAACGCGTAAATATTCATTAAGTAGAATCTAGTCGTTCAAAACATTTAGGCTCAGTCACTGTTGTATACGGAGTTACCATTATTCATTCTATTTCTTGCAAGCAAACTTATCGCAGATCAAATTAGTTTTAAAGTACAAAAGTATACACCTCTGATGGGAGTTTTGATCGGAAAGCATAAAGTACGGGTAGTTTGTTTACAAGAAATTATGAATCGATCAGTGTTAGACCACTATTGAAAACCTGGAAGCACTGGACGGCCGTTTCCCCCCTAGAATGAGACAACTCAGCAGTGCCCATCCACGATTCCGCACGTGAGATCTGAACTCAGGACATTAGGCCTCGCGCACGGAATCCTAACCTCCAGACCACTGAGCCGGTATCTAATGGTGTTAATGTATAACTTCGATCAATCCACGATACTACATGACCATCTTCTAT